AGGTCAATTGGAGACACCTTCAACACAGACAGCTTATGAGGAATATAAATGTAAATAATGTATGAACTATTATAAGAATATCAAACCATTGAAATGTGTTAAATTTAAAATTTGAAATATTCAAATTTTAATAAGAAAATGTCGACAAAATATCTACAGTTTTTATTTATTAAAAAAATGTTTCTTTATAATTTATGTTTACTGTTCTTTATTAAAATAAATAATACAGTAGAGTCTCGAAAACTTGACACTCAATAACCCGACAGTCCGGATAACTCGGCCACACCCTGGGAGAGCAAAAAAATCCTTAGTTAATTAATTTTCATTATAGACAGCTTTATGCCTCATAAAGTATTTTTCTGAGGTCTGTCTTATCAGGTAAATTACTGTACACAGTGTATTCATTAATTTTCATTTTCATGTAGTAAAGGCTCTATGCCTTCATAAAGGACGTACTTTTCCTTTGTTTAAGGGTATTTCTGCAGTTTATTCTCTGTTGTATTCTCAAGTAAACAATACATACAAGTACAGTACAGTATTTTCTGAGGAAACACTCATACTTATTTTTTTTAACTCCATTCCCGATAACCCGGCCTTTTCACAAACTTGGCCACCCTTCGGTCCACATTAGGCCGAGTTTTCGAGACTCTACTGTACAAATGTAATACAAAATACAGTTAATGTAAATTTGATTATTTTTATTATTGTATACAAATTTATTCATTAAAAAACTAAAATAAAACAATAAAACTTGATTGAAAAATATTCATTTGCAAAATTGTCATTTAAATTTAAGATTAAAAACAAATACAGTAGAGCATCGATTATCCGACTCAATTGGGGACTGGGGTTGGTCAGATAATTGAAAAGTCAGATAACCAAAAAGTATGAAAAAATCCATTATTAGTATAGTATATTCTTATATCCCATGTAATTAGTATATTAGTATATCGCTATTAGCCTACTTCGCATTGAATTTTCCTCCATGTTAAGCCTATCAAATTTTTTTTAAAAATAATAATCGTCGCTATTGTATCGTTAAAAATTAGAAAATTAAGCCTTGTTTAAATACTGGCTCCCTTTCATGGTCGATCGAGTGTTGCCAGCTAAAACACGTAAAAATAATATTAAAGTAGCCAAGACATAGCCAAATATTGTAGCGTCACATCACTAGCGGACATTTGAATTTGCCGACTAGAACGCGGTCAGTTAACCGAGGTGACGGTTAATCGGGGGTTGGATAATCGATGCTCTACTGTAAATATAAATATAAAAATCAAACAAAATATAAAAAAGTTTTTAAATTCAATTTTATTTATTTATTTTTTAAATTAATGTTATAAACAAATGTTATAAAATTTCATGCTATAAGAATTTTAGTTTCTTCTGCTTGTTTTTCTCAATAAGAAAAATTGAAAAGTACACAAATGAAATTATGAATCAATTTCCTCAGTCTCAAAAACAAAACAACCAAATAATTCAAATTTAGAAAATAAATATAGATGTTATAATATCTTTACATATAATTAATAATCCAGAGGAGCATTGCAAACGTCCATGACTGAAAGTGAAATTTGGTACTACTAGTTATTTTTCATTTGAAATAAGTTTATTTTTCTCAGTTATTAAATCTGCGCTTTGGTTTCATTATAAATTATTAATTGGTTCAGATTCATGAAAAAAAAGGAAGACCCTTTAAATAGGAATAAGATTAAACACTACTTTGGCATCTTCCATTTACAGACCACCAAAAAACAATTTTGCAATCTTTATTTCATCCTTTTATCAGAAAATAATGAAGATCCCATCTATTCAACCATATATGTTTCTACTTGGGTGTAAACAGAAGATACTAAAGCAGAGTTTAACCTTATTCCTATTTTAAGATCCCTTGTAAAAAGAGGAAGACTCTTTTTACAAGGGATCTCAAAATGAGTCTGAACCAATTAATAATTTATAATAATCAACCAACATCTCTATTAAACAATTAATTATTCAGATTAGATTAAATAAACTTTCAATCTTTATTACTAACAAATATATTAACTTTGTGACTATGAACTGTTTATGGTGTAATTCTTCCAATTTTTCAATGTTGCATATTACAGAAGATTGTGCTAAATTAATTCATGAATGTGACAAATATAAAATACCAATAATATTTAAATAGAATTTGAGACAAGATTATAGAGAACTGTTGGGAGCCTTGTCTAAAGAACTGTATAATTTTTATAAATTTTGTGATGTGGATTTTTAATCATATCTAGACAAAATTAAACAAATTTAATTTGTGAATATATTCATTATACTTTATATGTTAACTATAGAGTAACAAAATTAAAGAAATGTCTATTTATATTAGTTTTAAGGGACTAAAAGCCAATAACAATACAAGTGTATTATTTTGTATATTAAAGTTAATGTATTTTTTCATTTATACAGTTTATTGATATTTAAAAAAAAACTAAAGTTATGTATGTAAGAACTGTTCTGGCAATGAAACATATTCAAAATGGCTAAATAGAGATATTATGTAATAATATATGGCTTATAAACCATATATTATTACACTGTTTACATATAATTAATACGAATGCTGATGATCTTGAATACAATTTAGAATAAAATTTATGTAAATTCTATGCTTTGTAAATTTGATAAACCAGCAATAATATAGAACTAATTTACAGTTATTAATTTTCAGGCAATTGTGATTTGGCTTTAACTGTAAGTATGATTATTTGCTTTAAACTTTGTATTTATAATAGATGTACTGTTAAAACTGATGTTCAAAAACTTAAAATCTAACAATATATTTATCTAACAAACAGTATTTATTTAATAAAAAAAACCCTCCATTAAAAATGTATATAAAATTTGTGTTCAGTTTAAATTTTGTAAATTGAATACAGTTTTAAATTTTTAATGGAAATTTTTTATTAAATAAATAAATTTTGTAAATATTTCAATTATATGATTTTAACACAACCCAAGCTTTCAAAAAGCTAAATATATTACTAGAATTATAAAGCTTGATGCAAATTCATTACAATTATTTGTATTGTTTCAAACAACAACTTATAAATTTTTGAGAAATCAATATATGTTTAAAATTTATTAATTTATAAATAATTTTTAATTTATAAACTAATTAATTTTATTGATTAGCATGTAAATTAAATTACATTATCTAATTTGAAGAGTTAATTACTTTAAACTTTTTACTGTAAAACAAATATGGTACATAACTTAAGAAAACTTTAAACAAATGTAATTGATAATATATAGTAGTTAAAAATTTCATGATTTGTGCAATTATATAATGCTAAAAAATAATCATTTTATTTGCATCTTAATTATAAGTATAAATATATTCATATTTTTATATTTATTATATTGAAAAATAAATACAGTCATTAAAAATTTGATGTAAACAAAGAATTATGACATCAAAAATAAATTTTTGAACAACAGCATTATTTTTACAGTTGTGTATATGTATAACAGAATTTAAAGATAAATTAATTCAGATAGGGAAAAGAGAAAAAAATATTTTTAAAATTTAATATTTTTAGGCAATTTATTTTTATTCAATGTGTGATTTTTCTCCTTAGAAATGTGTGGAAAAAGTATCTAACTTTAAATGCATAGTAATAAAGTGTTTTGGGATTTACAAAAACAATTCATCTTTCTTTTAAAATAAAACATGTTTATAAGTTCATAAAAGCTACAAAGTTGAGTCAAGAGGAAGATATTTTGATAAAATATTCAACTTGATAGCATTATTTTACCATAGTAAAATAAAATATTAAAACCTTTTATCTTTTTTTATAAATATCTTAGAAAATGCAAATGGCATCTCTTTTATTAAGAGATATGTATCCATACAATTGTTAAAAATGTCCTTACCTAATTTGACCACAAAGATTTTTTCTACTTTCTGATTCTAGCAAAGTACACTTTTATTCTCTAACTCTGAATAAAAATATTTTATGTAATAAATTTACAGTATTCGAGAGTTATTTAATATTTTGTGACTGGATGATACACAGTATATGAAACACTACCATTTTAAAATATAATATGATAATCATGAGAATAAATTCTTTCTATTATATCTTCATTTTGAAACAAAGAACAAAAATTTATAACTTATCATCAAAAATACAATTACTCAATATCAATAATTAAAAATTGTCAAGTTTATTATAAAATATTTGTTAAATAATGAGAAAATTCTTTGATTAACTCAATAGAATCTAAAATGAATTTATATTGTAAAAATGTAATTAACAGGAATAGAGTATTCTTTAGAATAGACAGTTTTATCAGGAATAATTAAAATTTGTTCTTAAAAAAAGAAATACATCCAAGTTAATATTGGAAAAATTTATTAAGAAATTAATTAATTATTTTCATTTTAAGATATTTGTTGAACTAAATTCCATTAAACTTTATATATTATAGTGAACAGTTCATTAAAATTTAATTTCATATATACAATATACATTTATGCATTCAGAGTCAATAATAAAAATTAATAAATTATACATTTGTCTTTGAATATAACGCATTGTCTTTCTCAGTTTGAAAACAATTATTAATGTTAGTGAAAATTCTTAATTATTTTTACATTTTATGTCTTCTTTTAAGTTTATGTCCAATTAGTTAAATTGTGAAAACTAAAATCTGACATAATTACTGTCATTCTATTGATATCTATCTATTTGTAGACAGATTATGTATATATTGCTCAAAGCTACATTGATTTTCTGTTGTTATGATGACTAATTTAAAATCTGATTAATGAATTTATTCATTTATTCATTAGTATTTTCATTAATTTCAATATCTGTTTTTACAATATTAATTAATTAAATAAAAGTCATGTTTAAAAAAAGATTTTTTTATGAAGTGTAAATTAAATTTGTTTAAAATATAATAAACATTTATTAATAAAATAAGATTTTACTGGAATAATATAATTCTTAAAATCTTACCCTCCATTCTTTGGCCATAAACTTCTACTTTCAGAACTACCTCGCAATGCATTTCCACTCTGTAATATTTAATGTTTAATTTATTGTTAATAAATTATAGGAAGTACTAAAAATTTACATTAAGTAATTCATTAAAATAAGTTAAATCTTTATTAGCTATCTTTTTATATTTATAATCACCATCAATAAAAAATTTGATAATTTTAATATATAACAGTTTTGTCTCTTTCTTTATTTTTGTAACCAATTTCATTTTACCACATATTAATATTTAGGTACATAAATGCTTATATATTATGTATGAACAAGTATATGAGGACAATAACAAAAAGTGATCAATAAGTATCACTTATTGATCACTTAGTCTTTGTTTAATTAATATTTATCATATTTTTAAAACTCTTCAAACACCAATTCATTCTTTTTTCTAGTAAAGATGCCTCCTCAATTATATCTTTATTTTGATATAAATTAATTTATAACTGAATAAGAAACCATGATGATCTGTATTCAAGATAAAGACTAGTAGGAATTTTAATTCTTGACAAGTTTACCAACTTTTTAAACAATCTGAGAATAATGTCTAGACATTAAGCTTTCCACAAATATCAGCAAATTCAGCTAGCTTTCCAATCAATATTAAAAAAATTTTGTTATGAAATCAACAATTAGAAAGATAGAATAGTCTAAAAGAATATGGGTACAAATACAGATTTTATTTCCTGGGATATGGGGCTTAATAATAGAAGAAAATTAATCAAATACAACACCTATGGGACTGTTTTATTGAAAACGAAAAGAAAGAAAGAGACAATGAATTGCTTGATAATTACACCCATTTCTGTAGTAGTATAGGGAAAAAAACAGCAAGAACATCCACTGTTAAAGAAATGTAAGAGAAATTATTACAGGAGAGAACTTCATAAATGAAAAAATAATATAACTAACTACAAAATTATAACTGAGAGATGTCATCCTCATAAGAATTTATGTTTGAATTAAAAAAAATTTCTTTAATCAGGTGATACATATGAACTCTAAAATTCATTGAGAATTGTGTTAGGAAATACAAAAGAAAAGATTCTTATATTAAATAACATGAATGCCTGAATAAAACAATAAATATACAATGAAATTACTAGAAGATTTGGAATGAATGAAAGAAACAACAATAGCAAAAGATTTAAATAGTTATGTAAATAATTTTAACTGAAAATTAAAAATACTTTTTTTTATCATAAATATATCCATAAGGTTACCTGAAACCAAAAGAATCAAAGCAAAAAAACATCTGTAATCATTGGTATCACATTAATAAAACAATTTTATTTCAACTAAATTGCAAAATATGAGATTTTAGAGGAACTGCATATAGATCAAATCAATATATCCACAAAGCTCAATATTCACACTCTGGATTAATATAAAATAAAAAGCTAACTTAATAATAGCAAAAACAAAAGGAGATTGTTAAAACAAAGGAACCCATGAAATTATTAGATTTACTACAAGATACAAGCATTAAAGCACTATGAATAAAGAACTACATAATGATTATGATAAAAAAGTAAAGGCAATTACAGCTATTTGGGAAAAAGTAACATATAAAGAATTAGATATTAAAAGAAAACTAAAAGCAATAAATAATAGATCACAAAAGTAATTTATAAAACAAAAAAAGTCAAAAAATTACTTATGGTGATTTAATTGAAAGTAAGAAGAGGATAGAAAAATTTATCTTGAAGCTAAAAAAAAAAAAAAAGTCAATGAAATTATGACAGTAACAAAAAAAATTTTTTTTTCAGGAAAGGATATATATGTAAAATTGAAAAAGATATCAGGATTAAAAGTGATATTAAAAAAAAGTTATAGAAGAAAAAAGTTAAAACAGATTTTTTCATTAACAAAATTTTACAAGCATTTGAAATTCTGTAAGAAATGACCTGACAAATAAAGATTTCTAGAAGATTGTGTATCTCCTAACTTGTTCAAGATTTATATCAGTGTTTCTCAACCTCTAATGAATCGTTGCCCCCTTCAATAAAACTGTTACATGCTATCGCCCCCTTCAATTCAAAATTCCGATGCCGAGGGACAAGGCTAATGTCAAATTCGTACTGCATCAACTAGACTAGTGATTGGTATAATGTTATTTGTTTAATTATTGTACGATATAACGAATAAAATATCTAATTATTGTTAATATAATGTTTTACTATATCGCCCAGGAAATTGTTTTCGCCCACAAAATATAAATTGTTTCTAATCGCCCCTCAACATGGAAAAACACTCACTGGGGGCAATATCACCCGTTGAGAAACACTGATTTACATGGATATGTATATTCTAAGGGAATAGCAAAAAAATATGATAAAACGGCAATATCAATAACACATATCTATTACTAATATTATAAATAGATATCTTGGCAATATCAATGACAACTTGCTGTTTGTAGAAACCATTCAGCTATACCAAAGAGTGCGGCCAATAAACAATTCTAGTGTCTGTTTGTAGAAACCAAATACAGATTATTCAAAATGAATTAGAAAAACAGTTAACTGACATAAGGGAATGAATAAGAATGAAATTGCATTTAAAACTGTGTATATGATCATTGATAATACTGAAGATACTAAAGACAGAATTCGAAAAACTCAAAATTTAAAGAATAGAACACCATTTCAATATTTAGAGTCCATAATGAAAAATAACAGATCTTCAAATATGATAATACTAAAAAGAATAAGTAACAAAGTCACTGAGATGTAAAATTTAGTACAGTGGACAATATCATCCTATAGAAAGTAAAATGCTCATTTTTAATGCTTTTATTCAAAGCATCTTATAATCAAAGAAACATGAACTTTAAGTTGCTTGTTGTTGAACACAATTTATGAAGAAAGTCACTTAAAATTTTAAGATTAGAGACAATAAGAAATCAGAAAATAACAAAAGTCACTTAAAATTTTAAGATTAGAGACAATAAGAAATCAGAAAATAACAAAAAGGAGAGGATGAAGAAAAACATATAGGAAAACATGGGCCAAGATAACTAAGATGGTATGGCATACGAGAAAAGATACAAAAAGAAAAAATTCTAAAATTAATGATGAAATGAAAAACAGAGTAGAAGAAAAGAACAAAGCTGTAATTGAAATGAATGAACATGTACTTTGAAAGAAGATATAATGAAGAAGAAAATGCAAGAAACTACTAAACAACAAGAATTCAGTTAAGGAAACTCAAAAGATAGAAATCCTAAAGAAAAAGAAGAGAAATAACAATGTGCTAGGTAATAAACACTTTTAAAAGATTATATAAAAAAAGCACTTTTAAGGAAAATAATATATATAATATTAACAGAATGGTGAAAAAAATATATAATTTTCATCCTATATACATAATGACTCAGAAGAGACTGCAAAACAAGTTTACAAAAAATAACAAAGAATAATATGCAAGACTTTCATTTAATTTTAATACACTCATTTTACTTTTTGTAGAAAAACTATTAAAATTAAAATACATTATTTCAACTCAAAAATAATTCGATACAAACATTTCCATTTAATTTCTCAATTTTTTAAAAATTTAGCGACATTTATACAATATTCAAACATTCACAGTACAACAATTTACATTCTGATGGAAAGATTTAAATTTTTAAATACAAAATCAACAAACCAAATTCAGTTAGAATTTTAAATTTTGGCTACTCAAATTTGATTTATTTGTACTATAAATATAAATATAAAGCTGCTTTTTTCAATTACAAATCAGTATTATATATTGTATTTATAAAACTTTATTAAAATTGTAATTTTAATAAGTAAGTTAAAAAGCTATTTAAATTTTCCATTTAGTCATAATAAAATTACTTTCAAATCCTTAATTATTAAATTAAATTATAGAGACTTACCATTTTAATAATTAAAAATAGAAGAATTTAAAATTATCTTAATCCTTTTTTCTTCAACACTCACAAACAATATTATTTAACAAAATTAACATATAAACAAATATATAAAAAATAACCCATTTAAATTTGTATTTTACATTATATCTCTATCACAAAACCTGTCAAAAAGCTAAAAATGTATATGCTGTAGAAATACACACAGCTGATTATACATTAGGATTTTTATTTTTCTACTTTTTCAAACTTCAGGAAATACATGTAAACGTTTTATATATAAAACTTATTTATTATTTATATTTTACAAAAGCTGATAATAAATAAAATAAGCAAGCAAAATGTTTGTAACAAATCATTCTTATATTAATTTTATTTACATGTTACTTTTCTAAAGAATTTGAAAAATCCAATTTATATTTAAAAAAAACTTGATTTCTCATTTTACTTAATAATATTCAAAATAAATCAATATCTTCTATCCAGTTGATATAAAAAGAATTACATTTATTTTTTTATTTATTTTTATTAAATATAATGTATATAATGTAATAAAAATATCACTTTTCTTATATTAATAGTAAAAATAATTTGTAAAAACTTTTGAAACAAGAAATTTAATATTTGTTCTTTATCACATAAAAAAAATTTAATACTTTTTCATCAATGCAAATAATCATATTTGTACATTTTTTTGATAAAAAAAAAATAACTCTTTAGTATAATGGTGTTGATGGAATGTATCCTGCTAGGCTTATATATACTGTAGTTGTGCTTAATGCTATGCCAGACCAAGATCAAGAAATAACTACAGAATTAACTATTATTATGCTTACATGCTGTTCATGTAAACTGTGTCATCGTATATATTGTTCATGTAATAATTTAATATATATATATATATATATATAATTAAAATGTTTCAGTATTATAAATTTCAAATTAAATAGCAGATAGTATATTTCACAATTTAAAATATGAAAGAAAGTAACTGGTCTTCATTCTTTTGTCTTGTCCAGTCACCATCAAAAAACAACTCAGTTTTTTCCATATTTTAAATTGTAAAATATACCATCTGCCATTTTAATTTGAAATTGTGTGTCATCTGTATTTATGAATTTTCTGATTATGTGACATGTGTTT